AGTCCCACTCTGATTGTCCTCAGTCCCGCTTTGCCTGGCCTCAGTCCTGCTCTGCCTGTCCTCAGTCCCATTCTGACTGACCTCAGTCCCACTCTGCCTGGCCTCACTGCTGCCTTTACTGTCCCTAGTCCCGTTCTGCCTCTCCTCAGACTCGCTGTGACTGACCCACCCTCAGGTATTTATCTGTCGCTGTTCACCCCAGGATTGCTCTGCTGTGCTGTATTCCCACCTTTACCACCGCCTTGCGGAGTTCCATCCTTAAAGAATTCCAGTAGATTTCCGTTTTGTAAATCTACACTGACTCTGTCTGATCCTGTCACTGTTTTCCAAATGCTCAGCTATTAAATCTTTATAATGGATTGTAGTATTTTCCCCACTACCAACAAGAGGCTGACTGGTCTATAATTCCTAGTTTTAACTTTGCCTCCCATTTTAAACGGAGGTATTACATTAGCTGCCCTCCAATCTGGAGGAACTGTTCCAGAGTCTATAGAATCTCAGAAAACGACCACCAATGCATCCATTATTTCTAGGTGCTCTTCTTTAAGTACTGTGGGGTGTAGATTATCAAAACGTGGCGATTTATTGGCCTTCAATCCCATCACTTTGACTAAAATCATTTCCCTACTAATACTGATTTCCTTCAGTTCCTCCCTCTCGCTAACCTGTGAGATCCTCACTATTTCTGATATGTTGCTTGTGTCCTCCTTTGTGTACACTGAATCAAAGTATTTATTTAGTTGGTCAGCTACTTCTTTGTTCCCCATTATAAATTCCCCTGTTTTTGACCATAAGGGATCTACATACGTCTTCAACAATCTTTTTCTCTTCACGTACCTAAAGAAACTCTGTAGTCAGTAATACTCACTGCAAGCTTACTCTATTACCCTATTTTCCCTTTTTTAATCCCTTTGTCCTCCTTACTGAATTCTAAACTGCTCCCACTTCTCAGGTCTGTTTTTTTTTCTGTCCAATTTGTATGCCTCTTTCTTGGATCTAATGCTATCTCTAAATTCTTTGTAAGCCATAGTTTGGTCCCTATTTATTAAATTGATCAAAATAAAGGTGTAAATTCTTTTCAGACCTAAGTAGTGAAAAATAACTTATTTCATGTTGTTATCAGTTTTTTTTACAGGTGATCACTATCACTGTCTCATAACAACAGCCTGACTATTCATCAGCATTTCCCAGACTCTCCGATCTGTAATGACCCATTTTATCCAGTCATCACTCCCAAACTAATTGCACCAGCAGCTAAAGCTATTTG